GGGATGCCCGACGTTAGTTTTTAAAGACTTCCTTGCACTTGTTGTCAATGAGACCCTATTCTCCAAGAGTAAGTTTCTGTGCTATGCTTTTTTTTTTTTCTTTTTTTTGCGGTACACGGGCCTCTCACTGCTGTGGCCTCTCCCGTTGCGGAGCACAGGCTCCGGACGCGCAGGCTCAGCGGCCATGGCTCATGGGCCCAGCCGCTCCGTGGCATGTGGGATCTTCCCAGACCGGGGCACGAACACGCGTCCCCTGTATCGGCAGGCGGACTCTCAACCACTGTGCCACCAGGGAAGCCCCTAACTCACAGTATTAATAGCAGCATTTTATTTTGTGCATTTTTAAATATTTCAGGTCCAAATCCCTAGCATCTGGATGAAAACCATTCCCTGTCTTCTCTCCCACGATGGATTAGGATGAGGGGTTAGGCACCTGAGGGATGCCAGGTCCTCCACCAAAGCCAGAGGAGACTAAGGTCAGGGGCCTCAGGCCTTGCCCATAGAGGAAGAGGCTGCAGGGCAGGGCACAGGCCTTCGGGGACTGTAGTGACAGCAGCCGTTGTCACTGGTTGAGCACTTGCCCTGCCAGACACTGTACTGAACCACCTAATGCTTACGACCAGCATCTCAGGTCTTACAACTGCCACTTTACAGTTTTAAAAACTCAGGCTTAGAAAGGATACATGAATAACCAAGGTGACGCAGGTAGTGAAGGATTTAAATGAAGGCGAGTTTGCCAGCAAAGCCCATGTTTTTGTACCGAAGGAAGACCAAATGCGTAGAGGTCTTGGAGAGGTTCTTCAATCCAAGGACTGGCCCATGAGGATGGAGGGAGGGAGGGGGTAACGCAGAGCAGCTCAGCGGGGGTCGCCCCCCTCACGAGCTTGATGAAAGAAGGAGAGGCAAAGAGGTGCAGGAGGCCCAGCCTGGCCGAGGGTAAACGCTGACAAAGGTGGAACTCACTTCAGCTTCCCCCCTTCCCTTGCCTCTGCCCCGGAACAGACCATGCACAGAGGCCAGGTTGCCGGAAACCTCCAACGTGAGCAGCGCTCAGAGCCCTTCTCTGAGGCGCCCACGTTCCCCGTCGGTCAGGACCCCGGGTTCGGTTAGCTCTCTTGATTGACAACGTCACCTATTCTCAGAATACTGGAGAGCAGCAGATGATCGCTCTCTCCCCGAGGTACTTGCTGCATAAAAGCGAACGCTGAGAGATACCACGGGTGACGGGAAGGACTTGGGTTTCCAGTGGAGGAATTTTAGGCAGGTGGTCTGAAGGGAGATTTCTGGACACCGGTGACCTTGCTGAGGGCCTGAAAACCCCACCTTAGTCAAGGGCCCCTCTACCAACCCACCCAGGATACTGGCCCTTGTCTGGGGAAGTGGGAGGGGGGTGGTTAGAGTCTCACTCGGCTCTGTCACGGCTCCAGCTTGTAACTCTACTCAAAACCACCAACTTCAAGGCAAAAATAGCTGAGCTCTGCCTCCAAAAGCTCAGGATAAACAGTGTTGAACTCCCACTTCTAAGGCCTACGTGGTAGCAGCCCAGGTCTGCTTCCACCTTCAAAGCCGGAAGCCTGGGTCAGGCTATCCCAGGCTGGCTGCACGACGCCTGGCCACAAGTGGTCCCTACACGAAGGCTGCAGTGTCCAGGCCTTGGGTCTTTACCAGCGAGACCTTCCCTTTGTCTAAATGAAATGGTCTAAGAAGAGTTCAGCATGATCTGGGAAGAAAAAATCAACTTTTATGTCAGAATCATGCTCTCAAGATTGGCCAAGGGTAGCTGCTCTACGTGGCCTGAGAAAGGTCTGAATGGCCCACGGCTAACAGCCTGGGCTGACTCTGAGCTCCAGGTTTCCTCTGAGGAACCAAGTCCCTAAGAGGATTCTCAGCACCCAGGGTAGCGCCGACCCCAAGCTCACATAGAAGGAAACATACCCAGCAGACATGGCTCCTGCACACCCCGTGGTCACAAGGGCCCTTCCTGTTGCGGGCACCTGGCTCTCACAGGTGCTAAGGACCACGGGGACACCCACTTCCTCCACATCCTGAAGCCACCAGGCTGTCCTGTTTGCCCAATGCCACAGAGGATGCGTGTCACTAGCACCAAGGCAGGATCACAGGCTTTTTGGTGAAGCCCACATTTGAGAAAATAGGCAAGGAAGACATTTTGAGTTTTGAATCCTTGCTATTACCTTCTATTAACTTTCTATCCTCTCAACGTTTTCTCCAAATACTCAAAAAAAAAAATTGTGGTAAAATATCTAGAACACAAACTTTGCCACCTTACCTATTTTTAAGTGTACAATTCAGTGGCATTTAGTACATCCACAACCATCACCATTATTTATTTCCAAATCCCTTTAATCACCTCAAACTAACTTTGTATCCATTATGCATTAACTCCCCCTCTCCCCACAGCCCTGGAAACCTCTAATATATTCTCTGTCCGTACGAATTTGCCTATACTACATATTTCACAGAAGAGAAATCACATAATATTTGTCCTTTTGTGTCTGGTGTATTTCACTGGGCATGTTTCAAGGCTCATTCATGTTATAGCACATATCAGAATTTCATTCCTTTTTATGGCTGAATAATACATACAGACATATCTATATATTCCTGTCTGTCTGTCTATCTATCTATCATCTCACATTTTATTGATTCATCTATTCTTGTTTTAAGAACGGTTGGGTTAATGGTAATTCTGTTTAACTTTCTGAGGGTGCTTTTTAAACACCGAGAGCCTTGGGATATCTGCTCGCGCTTTAACGCGACAGTGAGTGTACCTAACAGTGAGTGACAGGCAGTCTTGAACTGGCAACAGGAGCCTAATTCTATAGCTTCACAAAGGCGTTATTCAGAAACATGTCTTATCAAAGACAGAAAAATCAGGACTTTCTTACTCATTAAAAACTCCCTTCTGCTCTTTTTAGCCTTTACTATGAAACATTTCAAACACATGGAAAAGTATATAGTATAACAAACTCTCATATAACCATCACCCAGAATCAGGGATTATCAAGATCTTCCTGCACTTGCTTCACCCACCCCCTTTCCCCAGTTAGCTTTAAAAACATAACCTTATTTTTAAAGCTAAGAAACAGTAAGAAGGAACACCTTCCTCATAATCCCATCACTCGGAACTGACAATCATTTCCATGAGTTTTTCAACAGTATGGTTTGCAGTCTGTTTTTCTGCTGCTGTGATTTTGGATTCTGTCTTAGTTGGTGTGTCTCTGGGCCAGTTTCTGCATGCAGCTCTTCGCCCTTTGCTGGCTGTACAGGGAAGGAACACTGAACTGAATGCAGGGCCCTGGTCTCCGCTCTCTTGGCAATCAGCTCTGTGACGCTCACCTATCTGGGCCTGATCTGTATTAAAACGAGGCCTTCAGATTCGGCATCCTCTCAGGCCCTTCCAGCAGGGATTCTGTCTGTCATCCATGCACGCAGGCACAGTGGTTCATGTCACGTGTCACAGGCGGGGGGGGGGGTTTAGGCGGACTCGGTGGCTGCCCCCAGATCAGAGCCCTCCATCCTCACACGACGACTTCATCTCTCGTCCCCAGAACAGGAAGAGAGAAGCCGGGAGGCCATCGAGCAGTGGCGCCAGTGGCACAGTGACGGCCTGTACCCACCCTATCTCTACAACCGCCACCATATCTGACCTCAGCCCGATGCACCCAGAAGACGGCACCTGACAAACGCGCCCACCCTCGGCATTCAGGCACCTCTTTTGCATACAAACAGGCCCCTTCCCAGGGCCTCAGCCTGGGGCCTTCTGTTCTCATGGATGGGAACGCCCTGGCTTGCGCTTCTGGGCAGGTGAATTTCTGAGGTGAGCCAAGGCCTGTGGGGCATCACCCCTATGGTGGTTTCCCACTGCTTTGCCATGGTTCCCACAGTGAGACTCCTGGCCCATAGAACAATGAAAGAATCACAGTAGAGAGAAAAGACCACGTGTCTGCTTATAGTCTATGAATAAAAACGCTGAGTCAACACTCTGTACCATCCTCTTGAATCTCACGCTGAGCCGCAACAGCTTGTCCCTCCCAGGTGACACTGGGCCTCTCCCGACTTGGGTGTCGGGAAGCTTGGACTCAGGAGCACTGCTCACTATTTCCGCAGCCTGTCTCAGCAGTCACGTGACTGGAAGGGACCTGCTAATGCAACTGTTTGGGAAAACCATTCTCCAAAGCCCAGGTGCTTCTCATGTCTCAGAAAAAAGTCTTAAGGTTCAACGGTGGTTTCTTAATGGCATCACTCAGAGGCCAGGGTACGAGCAAGGCCGGCGGTAACCAAAACTAGACAGCAGATAAGGTTTAGTTTTAGTATCACCTCCTTTTTCCTCATAGTATTAATTTGCTAGAGCTGCACAGCCAAGTGCCAGAACTGGGAGGCTTAAAACAATGAACATTTATCCTCTCACAGTTCTGGAGGTTAGAAGTCTGAAGTCAAGGTGTGGGCAAGGCCACACGCCCTCCTAAGGCTCCGGGTGAGGGTCCTCCCTTGCCTCTTCCAGCTTCCGGGGGCTCAGTTGTTCCCTGGCTTGTGGCAGCGTCACTCCAGTCTCTGTCGTCACTGTCACTTGGCCTTTTCTCCCCATGTCTCCACACACTCTCCCCTCTGTGTTTCTGTGTCTCTTCTTATAAGGACAACAGTCATTGAGTTAAGGGCCCACCCTACCAGCCTCACTAACTTGATTATATCTGCAAAGACCCTATTTCTAAATAAGGTCAACACTCACAGGTCTCAGGGGTTAGACTTCCACATATCTTTCTGGGGAAACAATTCCGCCCATAGCAGTGCCCTTTCTTCTGTCCCAAGGGCTCTGCCTTCCTGCCCCAGACTCTGCACGAGGCTGCTTCCAGCCTTGCTCCCAACTGCCTTCAGGAATTCCACACTAAGAATGCAGAAAACTCAGGAACAGCCTAAGTGGGCACCCCTGTGGGGTCAGCTCTCGAAGACAAAGCGGACTGTGGGTGAAGAATGAGCACCCACTCCTGGCCACCTCCCCGCCCCGCTCCTGGGCCTTGTGCCTCCGCCGCCTTGACTTGGGTCCCAGGCTGGCTGGTCCAGCCTGCTTTGGAGGCTGGGTTTCCAGAACAGTAAAGGGCAACTTTGTTTCGAGGAAAAGCTGCTCAACTGTAGTAAAATCCCCCACCAGAGGTGGAACAATTAACTAGATCTGGACACTGTGCAATGAATGCAAAGGAATTTTTAAAAGCCTGGGATAAAATCTTTAAAAACATTTAGTGATCAAGCAATTATGCACACTCCAAGCCGCCTCATATAGAGCCAGCACTTTATCCGAAACCAGGTTGTCGGTGAACACCCTACCTACACGATCTATGTTTTCCCACTGGCCACCCACCCGCCTTTGGGCCTGTCTTCAACAGACAGGCTCTTCAGGAAGCCCGCTGCCCCCCACGGCTCCCACTACAAGTACCAGGAGCTTCAACTTAGAAGGTGATAGCAGTGGAAGAAACTGGCATGAAATGAAAACTCTGCAGGTGCCTCAATATTTCATTACTGTTTTTTCTTATTACCTGACGAGACAGAAATTATTTCGGAGGAATGAGTATTCCAAAGTTTCGGAGCATAAAGCTGAACAGACCAAAAGGGAGCTCTGCTGTCTGTCCTCCATCTCTGCGATCTCTGGTCTACACTGGAGAAATCAGTCAGCTTGAGGGGAACATAGGTCAGAGATGGTCCTCTCTGAACTACAGGGCAGGAGCCTCACACACGCATCCCACCCGCTTCCTACTGCACCCTTGAAAAGAGCAGGACAGGGAGCCTTAGCAAACGGGCCAGACAGACCCCCTGGTCCAGGGTCTGTGCTCTCGGGGGCAGGGCCCCTCATGGTACCCAGCCACACACACAGATGAGAAATTCTTGCTACAGGCGTGTAGGAACCACAGTGCCTCTGCTCAGCTCGGTTACTCAGGGAAGCGAGAGACAGGGTTGTCATGGGGCAGGTGCAAGTTCTGCTGACTGCTAGCTCAGGTCCTGAGTCAGGGCTGCCAGCTGCTGGGCCAGCGATCCAAGTGGGCCTGTGCTCTACCCGCATGAAATGCCCTCTTGGTTGACCAGGAGCCAGATGCCAAGCCAGAAGATCCAGCCCCTGACCCTTTAGGTTGGTAACCCCAACTGACGAAGGTGTGCATGTGTTTTCACACACCCAGATGTACAACAGAGAAAAGGCAAAGCACTGCTCTCTCACCTCAGCCAGGAAACAAAGGAGCCACAGTCTGGCTCATATGGTGACAATCACACACCCAACGCCTTCTGACCGGAGGGCCAGGAACCAGGTGTACAGCAGCCGATGGAGTCTGACTCAAGGCCATACTCTGCAGCCACCTGGCTCAAAAAGCCTGCTGCTTACACAGGAGGGAACGCCGGGCCCATATAGATGTCAAATACCAAGAATGGTCTCGGTGAGTGGCCAGTTTAAAAGACAAGCAGCGGGCTTCCCTGGTGGCGCAGTGGTTGAGAGTCCGCCTGCTGATGCAGGGGACGCGGGTTCGTGCCCCGGTCTGGGAGGATCCCGCATGCCGCGGAGCAGCTGGGCCCGTGAGCCATGGCCGCTGAGCCTGCGCGTCCAGAGCCTGTGCTCCGCAACGGGAGAGGCCACAGCACTGAGAGGCCCGCGTACCGCAAAAAAAAAAAAAAAAAAAAAAGAAAAGAAAAGCAGCCTTTCCTTGTTTGTTCAAGAGCCAGGCTTGGCATGTCAGCTCTAGATAAAGAATTCTGGCAGAAGGAAGAATTCTATTACCTTGTTCTACCCCATCCTTAACAAGGGCCCCATTATACCTCAGGGTTTTAGAATTCCTTCTCTCAGAACCAATTGCAGCCATTTCCTGGGTAGGGAGAAGGATGCCAAAGGAAACATGACCGGAATCGGGGTAGCTAAATTTCACAGGAATTAGTAACGGAGGATCTGTATTTTCAGAGATAGGCTTTGTCAAAAGGGCGGCCTTTGGGACATTCTTCTAACTCTTCTCTGTTCTTTCCTTACCATCCCCAAGTCCTTTAGGGGTTCCAGGTAAGTGGTTGAAAACAAATTTTGTCAAACGATGAATTGGTGAAAACTCACTATTTTTTTCCACTAATTCTGTATGTTGTCATTTTATTTTCTTCTTCATCTTCTCCTTCTTCTTTTATTTTTTTGAGAGTGTGTGTGCTCCAGGCGAGATTTTATAACTTATTATCATGTGCCTTTGTTTACTTAGATTTCTGGAAGGAGGTGGTAATTTTCCTAAGACCCAAAATGATTTTAAATTTTTTTTTAAAAAAGTGTCATATGCTTTTTTAAAATATTTAGTTGGGAAAATTCATTTCTAATTCCTTTTCAACCATTACGTTCTAATTCTTTGGCAAGTTTTTCATAATTTAAAAGTTCTTAAGGGATTTGTCCAAAAGCAAATTGGTTAAGTCTGGATATTCTAGTTCACAATTTTAACTGGTATACTCTGTGATCTTACAGTGTACTACCACTGTAAAAAAAGTTTTGTCCACTTTCCACGTTATTTTGATTTTTTTAATTAAAAATATTGTGCATAGGCAATGTATACACATGATTTAAATTTTTCACAGGACAAAAAAGAATTCAATATCCTTTCCCTGTCTCCCAAAGAAAACCATCATCCCCAAGTCCTGAGCATCCTTCAAGTGACCTGTGCATATCTAAGTATCCAGCTATACTTCTTTTCCACTTTTATTTTTAAACTTTAAAATTCATTTTTGACCAGTGATGCCTACTTTACATATTAAACTAATTTTCTACCACTGAAAATCTGTATAGTAATTTATAGCTAAGCAGTTTTCATAAAGCCTTTTAAAGAAAAAGTTTCCTATGGGAACGGCGATATTTGAGGAGACATGACTGAAAAGAACACTGATTTAATAAAGCGAAAAGTGAGAAATATTTTTCTAGATAATTTCTCATTAATTTAGACCCTGTAATAATGAGTTTCAAATAACACACTAGTGAGCCTGAACCATTTAGTGTGTAGACTCCCAAATTAAAAACTTTCTAAATAAAATGACAACGTCATTAATATGAGGCAGTGAGGTCCAGGAGCCTTCGAGTATGATTTTATTAGCTCATGTTTGGTTTGTTTATCATGTACCCAGCACAGAATTGCAGTAGCAAGGTGCAAGATATTTTCTATTTTGTAAGCGGATTTAGATGATAAAAAACCCCAATATACCGTTAGATTGGTCCCTTGAAATCACTGCTGAAAAAGAGAGAATAGTACATTCCTTTAGTAAGTCACTGAAGACAGCTTTTCTTGAACCTTTAACTCAAAGTGCACGAATGACACACAACTGGACACTACTTTTGTTTGGGCAAGATTAATAATTATGTAATAAAGTCAGCATCACCACCTGAAAATGTACTTAGCTCAGGACTTGAATCCACTTCCTCCTCTCAAGGTTGAGCCCACTAACGGTCAATTGATAACATCACTCCAGGGAATATAAGAGAAGACAAACAGAAAAACCACACCATTATTTAGAGATCTCATCCAACCTTACTCAAAATACTTCCTTGACACTTAATGGTGAAGGAAAATGCTTTAAGACTCAGACTGGGAACAAGAAAAAAAAGTCATACAGGAAATGAAATGTTAAAACTTCTCAGGCAACAAGATCCCATATGAAAATCCTAAGGAATGTATAAAAAAGCTGCTATACTAGTAGGTAAGTTTGGCATGGTCCCAGAACACAAGGCCAATAGACAAATATGCATTGTATTTCTGTATACTAGCATGTATGCAGAATAATAATTGGAAATTAAAATGGAAAAAAATACCGTTTATGACACCATCAAAACTATTTAAAAATAAAGACAAAATATATATACAATCTGTACACTGAAACCACTAAACATTGCTGAGAAAATTAAAGAAGACCCAAATAAATGGAGAGGCATATTCATAGATACAAAATCTTAATATTAAAGACTAAACACAATCCTAATAAAAATTTCAGCAGGGTTTCTGGGGTAGAAATTGATAAGCTGATTCAGAAATTTACACTGAAACGCAACGGACCTAGAATTGCCAAAACAAATTTTAAAAAGAACAAAGCCGGAGAACTAACACTACCTGATTCCAAGACTTACTATATAGCTTCGGTAATTAAGACAATGGTACCGGCATAAGGAATGACATCCAGATTAATTTAACAGCACTAAGTCCAGAAGTAGACCCCCAAAATGTATGGTCAACTGATTTTTGACAAAGGAGTGAAAATAATCCAATGAGGAAATTATAATCTTTTCACTGAGTGGTGCCGTAACAACTAATGTCCATTTGGAAAACAAGGACCCACAACCCTTACCTCACAGCTTATACAGAAATTAACCTGAAATGGATCATAGACCTAATAGTAAAAGCTAAAACTATATTAAAAAATTCTAGAAGAAAATCTCTGTGATCTTAAGGCAGGTAAAGATTTCTTAGCTAGAATACAAAACACATGAACCATAAAGTGATAAGATGGGCTCCACCAAAATGACAAAAATGCTCTTTGAAAGACACTTAAAAAAATGAAAAGGCAAGCCACAAATTGGGAGAAAATATTCACCATACATATATCCACAAAAAGCACTTGTATCCAGAACATAGAAAGAATTCTTACAACTCAGCCCAGTAAATAAGTAAACAGATATGTCACCAAAAGAGATATACAAACGGCCAATTGCACAGGAAAAGATGTCATGAGGGAAATGCAAATTAAAACCACAATGAGATACCACCACACACCCATCAGGAATGGCTAAAACTGAGAAGACTGACAACACCGAGTACTGTTGAGGGTGTGGAGCAAATGGAACTCCGGTGCATCATCAGTGGGCATGTAAAAGGCCACTTCGGAAAACAGTTCAGCAGTTTTTTTTGTTTGTTTGTTTGTTTTGCGGTATGCGGGCCTCTCACTGTTGTGGCCTCTCCCACCGTGGAGCACAGGCTCCGGACTGCAGGCTCAGCAGCCATGGCTCACGGGCCCAGCCGCTCCGCGGCATGTGGGATCTTCCCGGGCCAGGGCACGAACTCGTGTCCCCTGCACTGGCAGGCGGACTCTCAACCACTGCGCCACCAGGGAAGCCCCAGCAGTTTCCTATAAAGCTAAACATACTTACCAGGAATCCCACTCCTAGATATTTACCTAAGAGAAACAAAAACATATCCATAGAAAGACTTATACCTGAATATTGCTAATGGCTTTATTCGTAACAGCCCCAAACTGGAAACAAGCCAACCCAAATGTCCATCTACAGGTGAATAAACAGTGACATATCCATACAGTTGAAATACTCAACAATAAAAAATGAACTATGGACACAGGCAATAACATGGATTTATTTCAAAATATGCAGTGAAGTATAAGAGTACATTCTGTATGATTCCATTTATATGAAACTCTAGGAAAGACAGATCTAAACAGATTGTAAACGGATCAGTGACGGATGGGACCAGGGCATGTGGCCTGACTGGGAAGTGGCAGAGGCAACTTTTTGGGGTGGTGGGAATGTTCTCGATCTTGCTTGTGGTGGTGGTCATGTGGATGTATAAATTCATCAAAATTTACCAAACTGTACACTTAAGATGT